AATAGCACACCATACAGGGTTGAGGCTCTATGCACTTAAACTAGCATGCAGGGCCTATAGCACACACTGTAAGGCCAGGGATTGGGCTACACACACCTAGCCTATCACACCATAGAGGCATGGTGCTCAATGCTAGCTCCAGCACCCACAGATAATGCTTAGGTTGTTGTTGTTGTTGTCATTTATACAGTTTCTATAGAGATGCTACAGCAACATATAGCAACATAGCAACACATAGCAACATATAGCAACATAGCAACACATGGCAACATATAGCAACATATAGCAACATAGCAACATATAGATTGGTTGGTTGTTTATCAACAAAACCGACGAGTGCGAAACTGTGGGGCAAAACAGACTGGGTTGGCTTAGATTGTTGACAACATGTAAGCTATATTTTGTCTCCAGTGTTTATTGAAAACATAAATACTTGTTGTCTCTCAAATACATTGTTACAGTTGTTTGTTAGCTAGCTAGCAAATGTTTCGCCATATTAGCATTGACATGAAATCAGTGAAAACACCTAAAAACAAGACATGGTATCAGGAACAAGATGAAATGCTAGCAATCTGGCCATCCAGAATGACAACAACACGCTGACTTCTGCCCCATGGAAGCGCACATATAGTTTTTCGTGACATTGTCAGCAAATGCATCTATAGCAACATAGTACCATATAGCAACACATAGCAACACATAGCACTATATAGCAACACAGAGCAACACATAGCAACACATAGCAACATATAGCAACATATAGCAACACATAGCAATATATAACAACACATAGAAACACATAGCAACATAAAGGAACACATAGCAAAATGTAGCAACATATAGCAACATATAGCAACACATAGCAACACATAGCAACATATAGCAACACATAGCAACACATAGCCAACATATAGCAACATATAGCAACACATAGCAACACATAGCAACATATAGCAGCATATAGCAACACATAGCAACATATAGCAGCATATAGCAACACATAGCCAACATATAGCAACACATAGCAACACATAGCAACATATAGCAGCATATAGCAACACATAGCCAACATATAGAAACATATAGCAACACATAGCAACATATAGCAACACATAGCAACACATAGCAACATATAGCAACACATAGCAACACATAGCAACATATAGCAGCATATAGCAACACATAGCAACATATAGCAGCATATAGCAACATATAGCCAACATATAGCAACACATAGCAACACATAGCAACATATAGCAGCATATAGCAACACATAGCCAACATATAGAAACATATAGCAACACATAGCAACATATAGCAACACATAGCAACACATAGCAACACATAGCAACACATAGCAACATATAGCAGCATATAGCAACACATAGCCAACATATAGCAACCCATAGCAACATATAGCAACACATAGCAACACATAGCAACATATAGCAACATATAGAAACATATAGCAACACATAGAAACATATAGCAACATATAGAAACATATAGCAACACATAGAAACATATAGCAACACATAGAAACATATAGCAACACATAGCAACATATAGAAACATATAGCAACACATAGAAACATATAGCAACATATAGCAACACATAGCAACATATAGCAACACATAGCAACATATAGCAACACATAGCAACATATAGCAACACATAGAAACATATAGCAACACATAGAAACATATAGCAACACATAGAAACATATAGCAACACATAGCAACATATAGCAACACATAGCAACATATAGAAACACATAGAAACACATAGCAGTGTCCATCATGGATCTGCCACCGACATGTATGTTAACTGGGTGTTAAAGAAAAAGTAAAATGATCAATGGGAAAGGACCCTATTACAGCAGTGTAACTGATAAGGTTCTTGAAAAGGGGAAGTTACTTTAGTCACAGCTTCTTGAAACAATCCAGTGTTTCCTATTGCCCTATACTGGCCTCTCCCTTCTGTTATATTATGGACGTGGAAGGCAAACCAGCCCTGTATGGCCTCTCCCTTCTGTTATATTATGGACGTGGAAGGCAAACCAGCCCTGTATGGCCTCTCCCTTCTGTTATATTATGGACGTGGAAGGCAAACCAGCCCTGTATGGCCTCTCCCTTCTGTTATATTATGGACGTGGAAGGCAAACCAGCCCTGTGTGGCCTCTCCCTTCTGTTATATTATGGACGTGGAAGGCAAACCAGCCCTGTATGGCCTCTCCCTTCTGTTATATTATGGACGTGGAAGGCAAACCAGCCCTGTATGGCCTCTCCCTTCTGTGTGCTCCTGAGTGTGCTCCTGAGTGGCGCAGTGGTCTAAGGCACTGCATCGCAGTGCTAACTGTGCCACTAGAGATCCTGGTTCGAATCCAGGCTCTGTCGCAGCCGGCCGCGACCGGGAGACTCATGGGCGGCGCACAATTGGCCCAGCGTCGTCCAGGGTAGGGGAGGGAATGGCCGGAAGGGATGTAGCTCAGTTGATAGAGCATGGCGTTTGCAATGCCAGGGTTGTGGGTTCGATTCCCACGGGGGGCCAGTATATTTAAAAAATATATATGTATTCACTAACTGTAAGTCGCTCTGGATAAGAGCGTCTGCTAAATGACGTAAATGTAATGTAAATGTAAATGTAAATGTTCTGTTATATTATGGACGTGGAAGGCAAACCAGCCCTGTATGGCCTCTCCCTTCTGTTATATTATGGACGTGGAAGGCAAACCAGCCCTGTATGGCCGACCTCACGATTTCATCTCTTGTTCACAACATTCTGTCATTTAAGTCAACTGACGAAGCAGGAGGCTGGCTTGTGACTCTTAGTGATCGTCAGATCTCAGGGCGGGTGAAGTCACTGCACGTTGGATAGCTCTCACTAGCTAGTGTACATACTGATTATAAAATAAAAGTGATGTATAGTGAAGTGCTGGTTCAACCTTGTATGGACTGGTTCTGTCTCCAGGTCTCTGCTATCAAAGTGAGATTACTGGAGCTCAGCAGCAGAGCAGTAGAATGGTTAGGGCTGGTATTGAGCTCTAACAGGCAGCTGTAGAATGGTTAGGGCTGGTATTGAGCTCTAACAGGCAGCTGTAGAATGGTTAGGGCTGGTATTGAGCTCTAACAGGCAGCTGTAGAATGGTTAGGGCTGGTATTGAGCTCTAACAGGCAGCTGTAGAATGGTTAGGGCTGGTATTGAGCTCTAACAGGCAGCTGTAGAATGGTTAGGGCTGGTATTGAGCTCTAACAGGCAGCTGTAGAATGGTTAGGGCTGGTATTGAGCTCTAACAGGCAGCTGTAGAATGGTTAGGGCTGGTATTGAGATCTAACAGGCAGCTGTAGAATGGTTAGGGCTAGTATTGAGCTCTAACAGGCAGCTGTAGAATGGTTAGGGCTGGTATTGAGCTCTAACAGGCAGCTGTAGCAGGGTTAGTATTGAACTCTAACAGGCAGCTGTAGAATGGTTAGGGCTGGTATTGAGCTCTAACGGGCAGCTGTAACAGGGTTAGTATTGAACTCTAACAGGCAGCTGTAGAATGGTTAGGGCTGGTATTGAACTCTAACAGGCAGCTGTAGAATGGTTAGGGCTGGTATTGAGCTCTAACGGGCAGCTGTAGCATGGTTAGGGCTGTTATTGAGCTCTAACAGGCAGCTATAGCAGGTTTAGGGCTGGTATTGAGCTCTAACAGGCAGCTGTAGAATGGTTAGGGCTGGTATTGAGCTCTAACAGGCAGCTGTAGAATGGTTAGGGCTGGTATTGAGCTCTAACAGGCAGCTGTAGAATGGTTAGGGCTGGTATTGAGCTCTAACAGGCTGGGGCAAAACAGGTTTGGGCCAGGGTGCCACAGGCACGCAGACAGCTCCTCTTCCCTTGGCCTCTCTCCTCTGCCTCTCTCCTCTGTAGGTTTCCTCTGTAGGTTTCCTCTGTAGGTTTCCATACCATATCTATCTATCTATCTATCTATGCACACGTCTACTACGGTTCACTTTTCACTTCCCTTTTTCACACCCACTCTCTCGCTCTCTGTAACAGCTCTTTTCCTGTCCATGCCCCCCACATTCACTCTCCACCTCCTCCACCCTTCCCCTCCTCCACTCTCCACCTCCTCCACCCTTCCCCTCCTCCACTCTCCACCTCCTCCACCATTCCCCTCCTCTACCCTTCTCCTCCTCCACCCTTCCCCTCCTCCACCCTCCACCTCCTCCACCCTTCCACTCCTCCACTCTCCAGCTCCTCCACCCTTCCACTCCTCCACTCTCCAGCTCCTCCACCCTTCCCCTCCTCCACTCTCCACCTCCTCCACCCTTCCCCTCCTCCACCCTCCACCTCCTCCACCCTTCCCCTCCTCCACTCTCCACCTCCTCCACCCTTCCCCTCCTCCACCCTCCACCCTTCCCCTCCTCCACTCTCCACCTCCTCCACCCCTCCCCTCCTCCACCCTTCCCCTCCTCCACTCTCCAGCTCCTTCACCCTCCACCCTTCCCCTCCTCCACTCTCCACCTCCTCCACCCTGCCCCTCCTCCACCCTTCCCCTCCTCTGGGTTGAAACTCTATTGTTGATTCGTTGGTTCAAAAGATGTCAGTTTGTTGATGACTTTTTTGCAACTAATCACATTGATGCTACGCGGCTACAGTACATTGATGCTACGCGGCTACAGTACATTGATGCTACGCGGCTACAGTACATTGATGCTACGCGGCTACAGTACATTGATGCTACGCGGCTACAGTACATTGATGCTACGCGGCTACAGTACATTGATGCTACGCGGCTACAGTACATTGATGCTACGCGGCTACAGTACATTGATGCTACGCGGCTACAGTACATTGATGCTACGCGGCTGCTGTACATTGATGCTACGCGGCTACAGTACATTGATGTTATGCGGCTACAGTACATTGATGCTACGCAGCTGCAGTACATTGATAAATAACAAGAGAACACTGTTGTCTCAACCATTTCTCTCTCTCTCGTCCTCTCTGTGCCCCAGATAAGAATGTCACCAAGCACCAGATGCTGTTTAACCTGAATGAGATGAGGTCCAGCGTTGGGGACTACCATCTACTCTCCAGTGCTGAGCTCCGCCTGCTCATCAAGACTACTAACATCCCCGCTGGTCGTGAGCAGCGTCTGGAGCTCTATAGGGGGCTGGACAACAGCAGACGATACCTGGGATCACGCTTCGTCACCAACAAGTGGAGCGACCGCTGGCTGTCTTTCGATGTCACAGCAACCCTCAAGGAATGGCTGATGGGGACCGGTGAGTCCAGACAGATAACAGTCATCTGTTAGTCAGGTTATAGCCCGTGTAAGTCAGCTCATAGCCAGTGTAAGTCATCTGTAAGTAAGGTCATAGCCAGTGTAAGTCAGGTCATAGCCAGTGTAAGTCATCAGTAAGTAAGGTCATAGCCAGTGTAAGTCAGGTCATAGCCAGTGTAAGTCATCTGTAAGTAAGGTCATAGCCAGTGTAAGTCAGGTCATAGCCAGTGTAAGTCATCTGTAAGTCAGGTCATACATTTTTACATTTTTACACAGGTCATAGCCAGCCCACTGTTGTGACTGTGTCTAGGAATCTTCAGTCATTTTTTTAAATTAACATGAAATCTATGTCAATCTATCATAACTTTGGTAATTTCTACTTGAATAACTTTTTTTAAAATGTATTCATATATAGTATATATGATTTTATATCTGTGTCTATATTATCCATGAATTTCTATTAGATAGACCATATGGTTCAAGAGAAAATAGCCTACTTAATGAAAAAAGCATCTAATAAACATTGGCATTATTTTCAATTAACTATGCAACTCTTCCAACTGTTAACTTTTAACACAATTGACAACAAATACATACTGACAGATAGGGGGAATTCTGACTTGAGTTAAGCCTGCTTAAATTGAACATTATTCCCTTTTCATGCACAATGGGGGGAATTCCGACATGAGTTACGCGTGTGTAAATGGACATTATACAATTTTTATGCACTTTTCTCTCTATGCATATTCTGACCTTGAATTTAAGCATCAGAATAGCATGCTATTCACCCGCTATTCGTTGCGGGTGGAGATCTAAGAAATGAAGGTGTGGCGGAGGTGTGTCTACAGAGACGCCGTATTCTGACCTTGATTTAATTCCCTAATAATTCCACCATCTTTATGGCCGATGAAACGATGAATAAAGTCGAGCAACCTGTTGGTCCCAAGTGGAACAACATATACTTTATTTTTTTCCGACAGAAATAACACCAGTCATTCTCAATGCAATGTTATTTACAAATTGATAAGAGCTATTGATAAGAGCTAGGTAAATGAGTAAGCCGTTTGGATATGGGATTGTAAATATAAATGACAATAGTTTTAGATCTATTTTACCTTATGATCGATGGAGACAAATGTGAAACCAGTCATATGGCAGCAAACTGAAGCATATTAACATATCACCTTTTCAACAGTGAAGTTTATGAAATTCCGGCTTTATAACTTGGGATCAAATTTGGAGGCGCAAGCTAATACTTCTGTACCGTAGCCACGTGCAAATGACAGTATAGCGCCAAACCTACCGAGTTGATTTATAATTTCTAGAATATTTTAATTATATTCCCGGACTTTTCACTGTATTTTTTTAAACAATTTGTATCATGTTAAATATTAGCCACTATCGGTAGCTACCGTCAGTTATACCCACATACATTTATAACTGTCACTGATTTTAGTGATAATTTTCTTAAATTTTGCATTATTCCATTACATCATTAGTTTACCTTGCTTTCCTCTGTCAACTTCCCGAGGAGTAGTGGATCATATTAGGCTAACATATTACAAGTTATATAATAATTTGGTACTATTTGAATCACTATCGAACTCAAAACCATATGTAGCATCACACCATATGTAGCAGTTTTAACCTGGAGCCTGGCGCATGGTTCACGACGACAGGACCTTTGTCATCACATTTCCGTGATTCGTGAGGATTATTATATACTGTTCAACCCCTATTGGACACTTTTCTCACCTTCCAATATTTCAGTTTCATGGGATTGTAAATATAAATGACAGTTGTTTTAGATCTATTTTACCTTATGCTCACTGGAGACAAATGTGAAACCCGTAATATGTCACCAAGCTAAAGCATATCAACATCTTTTTCCACAGTGAAGTTTATGAAATGCTGGCCTTATGACCTGCAGGGATGACATGTGGAGACCAAAGCTGTAGGCTTCTGGAGCCACGCGTAAATGACAGTATAGCGCCAAACCTACCGAGTTCTAGAATGTTTCATTATATGCCCGGACTTTTCACAGAATACAAAAAAAATAATGTGTATTGTGTTAAATATTAGCCACTATCGGTAGTCACCGTCAGTTATACTTACATATATTTATAACTGTCACTTTAGTACAGTGGTGTAGTGGTGCCTGGAGAAGTGGGTATCCTCGAATTTGTCCCCCCAAAAAATCAAAATGTCCCGCTGGTGAAGGAAAGGCTCTATGTGTGACATTTTCTATATTTTCCTATATTTTTTTCAGGTTTTCGCTCTCAAAATCACACTTTTTTAATATATAGAAAAATGACAAAAAAAATTGTTCTAAGTCCACAACAATGCTTGAACCACATCAGGAGACCATTTTTGAGGTCTGGGAAAAATCCCCCCAAAATTTGGAAGGGTGTAGTTGCCCTTTAATTCAATTGTACACTTTGCAAGAGACTGTTTGGCTAGCAGTGTTTCTGTACTGTACAATGTGGGCATACAGTGTAGGCTACATGTGATGGCAGAGTTTACAAAACAATTGCCCTCCCGATTGATAGCCGACAAATCATCCTGATATAATTCTGCCATGTAGGCCTACTTTGCAGTCAACATTTAATTGGGAAGGTTTTTTGGGGGGGAAAGCCTTTAGAAATGTTCATTCAAACAGCGGATGATGACTGAATTGCGCATCGCAAAGATTCAAGTCACGACTTCAGACCAAACTTTTTCAATACTTGGTTTGCATAGCCATTGTTGCCTTAGTTAGCATTTACTGGTAGATGTCATAAATTGAAATGTATTTTACCCTACGCGGCTACGGATGTCGGTCAATTCTGTGAGCTGCTCCGTGTGGCAACCAGTCGAGAGCTGCGCGTTCTTGCTGCCTGATATTCCGCTGAAACTATGTGTGCAGCGTGGATGTAAATATATTTCACGTGCTTTGTGATAGGCTACTTTGTGCATGATTTCTCTATTGTACTACAGAATTGATATAGCGTAGGCCTATACCTCCACTATATCAGTGGGAATTAAGTGAGTATACGCAATGCCCACTGAAAGAAAAGTGTGTATACTGCTTTAGTGGTAGTTCCCTTACATTTTGCGTCATTCCATTACATCATTAGTTTCAGTGGCGATTTTAGCACGTACATCTTGGTGGGGAAACAAACAAAAAATTGTTTTAGATGCCAGCAAAGCCACTACACAACACAAAACAATACATTCATTGTGCTATAACGTGACAAACCAATGTATTTTGTGCGTAAAGGCTCTCCAAACTTGTTTTTTATTATTATTCATAAATACTTTCCTAACCCTAAATAATATACAAGATCAGAGTATTTTTAAATATACCAATTGGTGCTGAAAAGGAGACAAATATGCATGTATTTACATGGCTTTATTTCGTTGAAAAACAGAAAGGAAAACGCACACCGGGTGATTTTATTATAACAACGTTTCGACCCTTAGGTCTTCATCAGGCATCTATCTTTAATTGATCTCTAATATTCTGAACCGTTCTCTCCATATATTCTAGTGAGTCAGTGGAGAAAATTATAATTAAAGGTACACCAAATTTAAAGGGATGGCTTTTAGATAAATGTGCTGAAAACCCTATTGAATGAAAACTCCACGAGAAAATCTGTTCACCAGCAAGTGGGAGGGTTTTCAGCGGTTTAATTAAATGTATTCAGCGCGTGCAAGGGAACCATGCCTGCAAAGCTCGTTACTCACCTGCGTAAAGTAAGTCTGAATACCAACTACTGAGAAGTGCGTAGGAAAGGTGTATTTGTACGTCTGTGAAAAATAACGTATATTTCATGCTGAACCCCTCATATTTAACACCAGTGGTATTCACTAAGTAGATGGTTTATATTTAGGATAATGTTTTACACAGCTTTGTCATGCTATACAGATTTATTTTTGTTGCCTTATTTAATTATTTCATATATTTTACATGTGATAAGGCCAGACAGAGGGACAGAGACAATTACAGACACCTGTAAAATCTGAAGTACACAAAAGGGTTACTAGATGTATTTTAGATTACATAAAATCCTTGAAAGATACCAAAATTTTGGGTAGTTTGCTGGTAAAGTTTGAAAGTTTCCATTAATATACCCTCCCTTTGCAACCCTACCTGTGTTTCAGAGGAGGAGCAGGGCTTTGAGTTGAAGCTGTACTGTGAGTGTGGGGAAAAAATGGAACCGTTCTCCTTCACTATCTCGGGGTTGGACAGCGGGATACGAGGCGACGTGGGTGGTCTGTCCAAGAACATGCGGAAGCCTCATATCTTGGCCATGTCCATCCCCCAAAACTACAGCTCACACCTCACCTCCTCACGTAAGAAACGGGCCACCGTTACGGACGACACCTGCACAGAGTAAGGACCACTATATCTGACTCTGTCTGTTCGTCTGTCTGTCCATTCATCTGTTTGTCTCTGTTTGTCTGTCTCACCCAAACATCTTCCTCCCTTCTGTTCTGCAGTAAAACAGAGAACTGTTGCGTGAGGAAGCTCTACATCGACTTCAGGAAAGATCTGGGCTGGAAGTGGATCCACAAGCCAAAGGGTTACCATGCCAACTACTGCATGGGCTCATGCACCTACATCTGGAACGCTGAAAACAAATACTCTCAGGTACAGTTCTAGAATTCTGTCAGGTACAGTTCTAGAATACTCTCAGGTACACTTCTAGAATAATCTCAGGTACACTTCTAGAATACTCTCAGGTACATTTCTAGAATACTCTCAGGTACACTTCTAGAAAACTCTCAGGTACAGTTCTAGAATACTCTCAGGTACAGTTCTAGAATACTCTCAGCTACAGTTCTAGAATACTCTCAGGTACATTTATGGAATACTCTCAGGTACATTTATGGAATACTCTCAGGTACATTTATGGAATACTCTCAGGTACACTTCTAAAATACTCTCAGGTGCAGTTCTAGAATACTCTCAGGTGCAGTTCTAGAATACTCTCAGGTGCAGTTCTAGAATACTCTCAGGTAGAGTTCTAGAATACTCTCAGGTACAGTTCTAGAATACTCTCAGGTACAGTTCTAGAATACTCTCAGGTGCAGTTCCAGAATACTCTCAGGTACACTTCTAGAAAACTCTCAGGTACACTTCTAGAAAACTCTCAGGTACACTAGTTTGGCACAGCTTAATTTCCATCCCTGTCTCCACTAATATAGTAATTTTAGATGTGAGGCAGTCATCTGTCATGTGACTGGAGCTGATGGATACCAGTTGTGTGTAATCATGAGTGTCTGTGGACCAGTCCGGCTGGTTGGAGATACTAGTGGAAAGTCAGGGGCTTCCCAGCTGTCTCCTTCTTCCTTATCGCTCTATATACTGTCTGTCTGTAAGGGCACTGTTTACACCTCTGGGCTCTAGTTGTAGCTTTCTTAGTGGTCAGGTCACGTGGTCTAGAAAAACTCCTGACTCACTAGCCCTGTAGTGTTAAATCCCAATAGCAGGTGGTGAAGTCTGCATGAGGCATGGTGGTCAGGGTTTAGAACTGTCTCAGCAAGGGACTAGTAAACACTAGACATGTACTGACTGTGCTCTCTCTCTCTCTCTCTCTCTCTCTCTCTCTCTCTCTCTCTCTCTCTCTCTCTCTCTCTCTCTCTCTCTCTCTCTCTCTCTCTCTCTCTCTCTCTCTCTCTCTCACTCTTCCTCTCTCTGTCCAACACATACATGTTATTTCTCAGCAATGTAGCTCTTGTGTGTCATATTGTCTTGGGGCTTTTGCTGACGATGCACTACTTACTGACGTGACCGTGTTTGTCTGTCTGTCTGTCTCTCTCTCTCTCACACACACACACACACACACACACACACACACACACACACACACACACACACACACACACACACACACACACACACACACACACACAAACACACACACAAACACACACAGATCCTAGCCCTGTACAAGCACCACAACCCTGGAGCGTCGGCCCAGCCGTGCTGTGTACCCCAGGTCCTGGAACCTCTGCCAATCCTCTACTACGTAGGGAGACAACACAAGGTACAGTTAACCCCCTAACCCTAACCTAGACAACACAAGGTACAGATAATCCCCTAACCCTAACCTACACAACACAAGGTACAGAACCCCCTAACCCTAACCTAGACAACACAAGGTACAGGTAACCCCCTAACCCTAACCTACACAACACAAGGTACAGATAACCCCCTAACCCTAACCTAGACAACACAAGGTACAGGTAACCCCCTAACCCTAACCTACACAACACAAGGTACAGATAACCCCCTAACCTACACAACACAAGGTACAGATAACCCCCTAACCTACACAACAAAAGGTACAGATAACCCCCTAACCCTAACCTAGACAACACAAGGTACAGTTAACCCCCTAACCCTAACCTAGACAACACAAGGTACAGATAACCCCCTAACCCTAACCTAGACAACACAAGGTACAGTTAACCCCCTAACCTAGACAACACAAGGTACAGTTAACCCCCTAACCTAGACAACACAAGGTACAGATAACCCCCTAACCCTAACCTAGACAACACAAGGTACAGTTAACCCCCTAACCCTAACCTAGACAACACAAGGTACAGTTAACCCCCTAACCCTAAACTAGACAACACAAGGTACAGTTAACCCCCTAACCCTAACCTACACAACACAAGGTACAGAACCCCCTAACCCTAACCTAGACAACACAAGGTACAGTTAACCCCCTAACCCTAACCTACACAACACAAGGTACAGTTAACCCCCTAACCCTAACCTAGACAACACAAGGTACAGTTAACCCCCTAACCCTAACCTAGACAACACAAGGTACAGGTAACCCCCTAACCCTAACCTACACAACACAAGGTACAGAACCCCCTAACCTAGATAACACAAGGTACAACAGTTAACACTTCTGTGTTGTAGAGGGGTGACATTCTATTTCTTCTCTAAATCTTACAGACTACATAACATGTCATAATCAGTCATGACTGTTCGTGAAAGATGTTCAGCTAGGGATTGTCCACTAAGAGTGGTGTGTGGGAGTGTAGTCACTAACAGTGTGGGGTGTAGTCACTAGCAATGGTGTGTGGGTTTGTAGTCACTAACAGTGGTGTGATGTGTAGTCACTAACAGTGGTGTGGGGGTGTGTAGTCACTAACAGTGGTGTGGTGTGTAGTCACTAACAGTGGTGTGGGGGTTTGTAGTCACTAACAGTGGTGTTGTGTGTAGTCACTAACATTGGTGTGTGGGAGTGTAGTCACTAACAGTGGTGTGGTGTGTAGTCACTAACAGCGGTGTGGGGGGGTGTAGTCACTAACATTGGTGTGGGGTGTGTAGTCACTAACAATGGTGTGGAGTGTAGTCACTAACAGTGGTGTGGGGGCGTGTAGTCACTAACAATGGTGTGGTGTGTAGTCACTAACAGCGGTGTGGGGGGGTGTAGTCACTAACATTGGTGTGGGGTGTGTAGTCACTAACATTGGTGTGGGGTGTGTAGTCACTAACAGTGGTGTGGTGTGTAGTCACTAACAGTGGTGTGGGGATTTGTAGTCACTAATAGTGGTGTTGTGTGTAGTCACTATAATTGGTGTTGGAGCGTGTAGTCGCTAACAGTGGTGTGTGGGTGTGTAGTCACTAACAGTGGTGTGGGGGCATGTAGTCACTAACAGTGGTGTGGGGGTGTGTAGTCACTAACAGTGGTGTGGGGGTGTGTAGTCACTTACAGGGGTGTGGGGGCATGTAGTCACTAACAGTGGTGTGATGTGTAGTCACTAACAGTGGTGTGGGGGTGTAGTCACTAACAGTGGTGTGGGGGTGTGTAGTCACTAACAGTGGTGTGTGGTTGTGTAGTCACTAACAGTGGTGTGATGTGTAGTCACTAACAGTGGTGTGGGGGTGTAGTCACTAACAGTGGTGTGGGGGTGTGTAGTCACTAACAGTGGTGTGGGGGTGTGTAGTCACTAACAATGGTGTGGGGATGTGTAGTCACTAACAATGGTGTGGGGGTGTGTAGTCACTAACATTGGTGTTGGAGCATGTAGTCACTAACAGTGGTGTGGGGGGTGTGTAGTCACTAACAGTGGTGTGGGGGTGTGTAGTCACTAACAGTGATGTGGGGGTGTGTAGTCACTAACAGTGGTGTGGGGATGTGTAGTCACTAACAGTGGTGTGGTGTGTAGTCACTAACAGTGGTGTGTGGTTGTGTAGTCACTAACAGTGGTGTGATGTGTAGTCACTAACAGTGGTGTGGGGGTGTAGTCACTAACAGTGGTGTGGGGGTGTGTAGTCACTAACAGTGGTGTGGGGGTGTGTAGTCACTAACAATGGTGTGGGGATGTGTAGTCACTAACAATGGTGTGGGGGTGTGTAGTCACTAACATTGGTGTTGGAGCATGTAGTCACTAACAGTGGTGTGGGGGTGTGTAGTCACTAACAGTGGTGTGGGGGTGTGTAGTCACTAACAGTGATGTGGGGGTGTGTAGTCACTAACAGTGGTGTGGGGATGTGTAGTCACTAACAGTGGTGTGGTGTGTAGTCGCTAACAGTGGTGTGTAGTCGCTAACAGTGGTGTGTGGGTGTGTAGTCACTAACAGTGGTGTGTGGGTGTGTAGTCACTAACAGTGGTGTGGGGGTGTGTAGTCACTAACAGTGGTGTGTAGTCGCTAACAGTGGTGTGTGGGTGTGTAGTCACTAACAGTGCTGTGTGGGTGTGTAGTCACTAACAGTGGTGTGTGGGTGTGTAGTCACTAACAGTGGTGTGTGGGTGTGTAGTCACTAACAGTGGTGTGTGGGTGTGTAGTCGCTAACAGTGGTGTTGTGTGTAGTCACTAACATTTGTGTGGTGTGTGGGTGTGTAGTCACTAACAGTGGTGTGGGGGTGTGTAGTCACTAACAGTGGTGTGGGGGTGTGTAGTCACTAACAGTGGTGTGTAGTCGCTAACAGTGGTGTGTGGGTGTGTAGTCACTAACAGTGGTGTGTGGGTGTGTAGTCGCTAACAGTGGTGTGTGGGTGTGTAGTCACTAACATTTGTGTGGTGTGTGGGTGTGTAGTCACTAACAGTGGTGTGGGGGTGTGTAGTCACTAACAGTGGTGTGGGTGTGTGTAGTCACTAACATTTGTGTGGTGTGTGGGTGTGTAGTCACTAACAGTGGTGTGGGGGTGTGTAGTCACTAACAGTGGTGTGGGGGTGTGTAGTCACTAACAGTGGTGTGTAGTCGCTAACAGTGGTGTGTGGGTGTGTAGTCACTAACAGTGGTGTTTGGGTGTGTAGTCGCTAACAGTGGTGTGTGGGTGTGTAGTCACTAACAGTGGTGTGTGGGTGTGTAGTCACTAACATTTGTGTGGTGTGTAGTCACTAACAGTGGTGTGTAGTCGCTAACGGTGGTGTGTGGGTGTGTAGTCGCTAACAGTGGTGTGTGGGTGTATAGTAACTAACAGTGGTGTGTGGGTGTATAGTAACTAACGGTGGTGTGTGGGTGTGTAGTCGCTAACAGTGGTGTGTGGGTGTGTAGTCACTAACGGTGGTGTGTTTGTGTGTTTCAGGTGGAACAGTTGTCCAACATGATTGTGGAGAGCTGTAAGTGCAGCTAGAAGACAGAGGTGGTGTCTTCCTCCATCTCTGTATTCTACCCCTCCCCTCACATACACCCATACCGATTAGAGATGGAGTGATGAGAAAGAACTCAGAGAGGAAGAGGAGAGAGAAAGAAGGATTGACTCTGGGATGGAGGAGTGGAACAAGGGATGAAAAGATGATCCGTGTGATCCATGACAGAACCAGCCTCCTCCTGATGGACCAAGACCAGGACTACTGACATTTCTGCTTTTACATCCACTTTATATACTGGATGAATATAGGCTTTCTTCAAATAACACATATATCTCAAGGAGTAAATTAATTTATTTGTTACATGTAGCAGAGCTGTATAGCGTAGTACTGTAGACGCATTGACGTGCAGTGGCTTGCTGGGTAGTGATGGAGAGACTTTGGAGAGGGGGTGGGGGTTATCGGACACCCCAGAAGAGGTACAGGAGGACTTCATTGGACCCAGACAAGACCAAGAGGACCAGAATGGAATCCTTAATTTAGGGTAACAAACTGTTTAGTAAGGATGGGCCCAGGACTTGTTGTAACCTACAGTGCCTGTCCAGAACTCACTTGTGCCAGACATTAGTACGAGGACACCACACGTTTGCACAAAAGCCAAAGGACCTTGTTTATGTGGGTGTATCATTGGGCTGGACCAGTTGTTGCCCTATCACAGAAGAGGTTGGAGAAGTCTTACTACAGCGGGACACAGAGACTGACTGGGACCTAAGGGATACTGTTTACTCAGTGGCCGAGACACTGTTACTGGATGACGTCCTCTAGAGACACTGTTACTGGATGACGTCCTCTAGAGACACTGTTACTGGTCGATGGCCTCCAGAGACACTGTTACTGGTCGATGGCCTCCAGAGACACTGTTACTGGTCGATGGCCTCCAGAGAGACTGTTACTGGTCGATGGCCTCCAGAGACACTGTTACTGGTCGATGGCCTCTAGAGACACTGTTACTGGTCGATGTCCTCCCTGGCTAGAGAGACTGTTACTGGTCGATGGCCTCCAGAGACACTGTTACTGGTCGATGGCCTCCAGAGACACTGTTACTGGTCGATGGCCTCCAGAGAGACTGTTACTGGTCGATGGCCTCCAGAGACACTGTTACTGGTCGATGGCCTCCAGAGACACTGTTACTGGTCGATGGCCTCCAGAGAGACTGTTACTGGTCGATGGCCTCCAGAGAGACTGTTACTGGTCGATGTCCTCCCTGGCTAGAAAGACTGTTACTGGTCGATGGCCTCCAGAGAGACTGTTACTGGTCGATGGCCTCCAGAGAGACTGTTACTGGTTTATGGCCTCCCTGGCTAGAAAGACTGTTACTGGTCGATGGCCTCCAGAAAGACTGTTACTGGTTGATGGCCTCCCTGGCTAGAGAGACTGTTACTGGTCGATGGCCTCCCTGGCTAGAGAGACTGTTACTGGTCGATGGCCTCCCTGGCTAGAGAGACTGTTACTGGTCGATGGCCTCCAGAGAGACTGTTACTGGTCGATGGCCTCCAGAGAGACTGTTACTGGTCGATGGCCTCCAGAGAGACTGTTACTGGTCGATGTCCTCCCTGGCTAGAGAGACTGTTACTGGTCGATGGCCTCCAGAAAGACTGTTACTGGTCGATGGCCTCCAGAAAGACTATTACTGGTCGATGGCCTCCAGAAAGACTGTTACTGGTCGATGGCCTCCAGAGAGACTGTTACTGGTCGATGGCCTCCAGAGAGACTGTTACTTGTCGATGTCCTCCCTGGCTAGAGAGACTGTTACTGGTCGATGGCCTCCAGAAAGATTGTTACTGGTCGATGGCCTCCAGAAAGACTGTTACTGGTCGATGGCCTCCAGAGAGACTGTTACTGGTCGATGGCCTCCAGAGAGACTGTTACTGGTCGATGTCCTCCCTGGCTAGAGAGACTGTTACTGGTCGATGGCCTCCAGAAAGACTGTTACTGGTCGATGGCCTCCAGAAAGACTGTTACTGGTCGATGGCCTCCAGAAAGACTGTTACTGGTCGATGGCCTCCAGAGAGACTGTTACTGGTCGATGGCCTCCAGAGAGACTGTTACTGGTCGATGTCCTCCCTGGCTAGAGAGACTGTTACTGGTCGACGTCCTCCCTGGCCAGAGAGACTGTTACTGGTCGACGTCCTCCCTGGCTAGAGAGACTGTTACTGGTCGACGTCCTCCCTGGCCAGAGAGACTGTTACTGGTCGACGTCCTCCCTGGCTAGAGAGACTGTTACTGGTCGATGGCCTCCAGAGAGACTGTTACTGGTCGATGTCCTCCCTGGCTAGAGAGACTGTTACTGGTCGATGTCCTCCCTGGCTAGTAGCTCGTAGCTCCATGGTCCTTAATGTTTCATCTTTACCGTCCATCACTTTCACCTGTTTATTTAGCTTTATTACCGCTAGTATGTTATTCTGTTATTCTATGTGCTCTCTGTCAGTGTGTTTCTGTTCCTGTGTCATAGGTTGTTCATCATTCTGTCTGGCTTGTTGTAGCGTTGTGTGTGTGTAGCACATGCTCTGTGCTGCCAGACGGATGAGTAACAGTGCTAGTATTAGTGGTGACACCATGTCGTTGGTCCGCCCTGCTTTATGATATGCTTGTTGTTTTAGAGGGAGACGGAATGTGGTGGTGGCGGTGGGTTTAGAGGAAGCTGGGAGCACCATGGACTGACTGTTCACACTGTTAATGTGTTGTTGCTTCTCTTTGCTATAAGTCAATATAGACAATTTATTGCTTCTATTTAAAGATAGTCACATTTCTGCTTGTTGTTGTTGCCCAAAACACTCGTTTTTATTTGTTGTTGTTGTTGTTGTTGTTGTTGTTGTTCAGTGTGATGTACTATGCATGTTCCAGTTCATGTCAGAGATGGAAATCTACTTCTTTCTTCATCTCACTTTAGAATAATTGCACTTATTTTTATCAGTCCTTTTTGTTTCACCGTAAATATCTTAACAACTTGAAATAAAACATTGATGTTGTTCATTCATTGCATTATTGTTGCAGATTTCTAGAGAACATGGGGAAACTCTATCAACTACTAGTATTGTTTTCCCTTACGGCCTGGTAGGGCTGTGTGTGTGGGGGTGGGGGGGGGGGGGGGGGGGGGGGGAGGGAGTGATCCACGCCATGGTGGAAAAGCATGTTGCGTGCCAAGTGTGTGTGTCCATCAGTCAGACGGACAGACAGTCATTCAGCCAGTCATCCACACACACAGACAGACGGACAGTCAGCCAGTCATCCAGATAGACAGACAGACAGTCATTCAGCCAGTCATCCACCACCACACAGACAGACGGACAGTCAGCCAGTCATCCAGATAGACAGACAGACAGTCATTCAGCCAGTCATCCACACACACAGACAGACGGACAGTCAGCCAGTCATCCAGATAGACAGACAGACAGTCATTCAGCCAGTCATCCACACACACAGACAGACGGACAGTCAGCCAGTCATCCAGATAGACAGACAGACAGTCATTCAGCCAGTCATCCACACACACAGACAGACGGACAGTCAGCCAGTCATCCAGATAGACAGACAGACAGTCATTCAGCCAGTCATCCACATAGACAGACAGTCATACAGACAGTCAGTAAGGTAAACAGTGTATGCCTGTTTATACTGCAGTCACTCTATGGCCTTACTACCTGGGAGGAGACCTGGGGCTATGCTTCACAGGTGGGTGAGGAGGGGGGAACGGCATTCCCGAATGCAGGGCCCCATTCCTGGCACTGTCTCTACCAGTGGGCATGGGATCAGTTTTACTGTCTCTACCAGCAGGCATGGGCTCAGTTTTACTGTCTCTACCAGTGGGCATGGGCTCAGTTTTACTGTCTCTACCAGCAGGCATGGGCTCAGTTTTACTGTCTCTACCAGCTGGTATGGGCTCAGTTTTACTGTCTCTACCAGTGGGCATGGGCTCAGTTTTACTGTCTCTACCAGCAGGCATGGGCTCAGTTTTACTGTCTCTACCAGCTGGTATGGGCTCAGTTTTACTGTCTCTACCAGCAGGCATGGGCTCAGTTTTACTGTCTCTACCAGCGGGCATGGGCTCAGTTTTACTATCTACGAGCAGGCATGGTTTTTCTCACTTACCGTATTCTCTCTCTTCCTCTTCTCTCAGTGTCATCTCACCTGTCTCTCTATCTATAGAACTGCTCTCTGACTCCGTCTCTCACTCTACCTACTTCTTTCATTCTTTCTCTCTCTCCCTCTCCCTCTCCCCCCCCCCCCCCCCCCCCTCTCTCCAGGGATTAAGGTACTACATAGAGAGGGAGAGCAGCAGGTTCAGGCCCGTTGGCTGAGCCCAGACTGAAGGCCAGTGACAACATGGAAAACTAAATACACAAATATACTGTACACAGTAGTACACATGCTGAACTCACACACACACACACACACACTCACTCATGCACACATACACAATCACACATACACACATACACATACCCACTCATACACACACATACACACACACTCATACACACACATACACACACACATACACACACACATTTGTTTTACTATCCTTCTGAGGACCAAACAATTGATTCCCATTCAAAACGGTCCTCTGTAGCTCAGCTGGTAGAGCTCAGCTGGTAGAGCTCAGCTGGTAGAGCACGGCGCTTGTAACGCCAGGGTAGTGGGTTCCATCCCCGGAACCACCCCATACACAAAAATGTATGCACACATGACTGTAAGTCGCTTTGGATAAAAGTGTCTGCTAAATGGCATATTATTATTATTATTATTATAAAATCCTATTTTCCCAAACCCTAACCATAACCCTAAACCTAACCCTTGCCCTAACCTTAACCCCAAACCCCTAACCTTAAACCTAACCCCAACTCTTAAACCTAACCCCTAATTCTAACCCTAACCCTATATCTTCGGGGTGTGGGAACCTGATCTGGTTCAGTTCACAACATTCACTGACATATTTAACATCCATTATCCCACCATAACAGTCAAATACGCCATCCCATCCACACACAATGAACTTCATGGACACAACAGTATTTTTTTCCAGATACTGACACACACATTGTCTCCCTACACACAAACGTTTACTTCAAGGACACAGACACAGACACACACACACCCTACTCCACAAATCCAGCTACCACCCCAAGCACACATTCACTGGCATTGTCGAGTCACAACTAATCCGATTCCATAGACTATGCACACAACAGAAAGACTTTCATTCAGCCACACAGACCAGACCCTCTTTGGAGCACTGGGGAAGAAGGGATACTCAAAGCGGTCGCTAAGGTATATACAGTGCGTTCGGAAAGTATTCAGACCCCTTCCCATTTTCCTCATTCTGTTACGTTACAGCCTTATTCTAAAATGGATTAAAACAAATATTTTTCTCATCAATCTACCCGCAATACCCCATAATGACAAACCAAAACAGGTTTTTAGAAATGTTTGCTAATGTATTAAATATAAAAACTATATCACATTTACTGTACATACAGTACCAGTCAAAAGTTTGGACACTCCTACTCATTCAAGGGTTTTTCTTTATTTTTAATATTTTCTACATTTAGAATAGAAACATAAAAATAAAATTAAAATCCCCAAATTTAAAAACCTAAAAACCCCCTTTTTC